ATCAGATAAAAGGCGTGTTAACAATTGAATTATTAATGTTTCTATTTTCTCAGCATTTAACTTGGTAAGGCAAAGCGTCTTTCTAATAATTTATTAATTTATCTTTTAAGGTATTCGACTACGCTCGGAACCGTGATTTTGCAAAAGCATATAAATCAATAATATTTATGACATTTAGTGTCACTTGAATTAGAAAATGTATATAACATTGTTTTAAGAACAGTATTACAATAAAAAAATATTTAAGTACACTATTTTGACAAAAAATGAACATAGAATGAAACATTTTCAAAATATTCTCCTTTTCTGAAAAATGCTTCTATTATAATAATATTTTGCCTGCATATAGCTCAGATATCTCTACAGAGGTTTAACTAGAATTTTTGAAATATTTAACTATAACTGGGTTTATCCATGTTTTACGACAACAGAGGGGGGAAATTTTAAGAAAAAAACGCCGATAATTATTTCAATTGGTTGTAACTCTAGAAATAATGTGAATTTTTCAAAAATCATAGTTGAGCCTCTGTGCAGAGGTCTGAGTTATATACAGGCAAAATATTATAAAAATAGAAGCACTTTTCACAAAAGGAGAACATTTTGAATAAAGGCTATTCTAAGTTAATTTTTTGCCGACAAATTGTATTTAAATATTTTTTTCTCAAAATGTCCTTAAAACAATTTGTACATGCATTCTAATACAAGTGACACACTAAACATCAAGAAAATTATCCATTCATCCACCTTTTTAAAATCACGGTTCCTAACGTAGTCGGATACCTTAAGCTCAATAAATCTATCTTTAGTAGGATATAATGGTGAATGAGGAAGAGTACATATAAGATTCTAATTCTTAATCTCAGTTTAATGCTGTGTTATTTACTTATTTTGAGTTATTATTACAAATATCAATATATGATGAAAACAACTGTACAAAAAATTGGTTTATTTTATTTCCCTATCTAAACAGTATTGGAAACTATTATAATAAACTGAAATTTAAGTACTTAGAAACAATGACTTCCAGCAACTCAAAAATACTTAAACAGCATGTGAGCTACATAATAAAAAAAGCCAATACAGTAAGTTGAAGGATAAGTTATCTTCAATTTTTAGTTAGAAAGGAAATAATCTTAAATGAAACGCATTAAAGGGAAGGAATTTTCTCTCGACATAATTGAGCAACCGAAATTAATTCATTAACTAAATGAACTCCAAAAACTATCTTTATTCATTTTAATAGTTAAAACTTCGAAACATTCTACTTTAATATAGTTAACGGGCTTCTTTAATTCTTTGTTTTACAGAGGTTTATTAAATAAATGTAATGTTTACAATTTAGATTGAATAATTTTCTATTTTTTGGTATGTGTTCTTAAAACCTTTGATTGAAGAGTTAAAAATGCATGATGTAATTTAAAATTTTACTATATTTCTGGAAGCACAAAAAGGCTTAATTAATTTCAAAGAAAAAGAAAATTTACAGCAAAAATATTGATTAGAAGTTTTTGAAAGTTTAAATATGTTACTTGATTTAAAATGATTTAGACATCAGTTCGAAGGAAGAAAGTTTTCTGTTTCCTCAAGAAGTTCTTAAAAAGCTTTCAAATCTCCCAGACACTATTGCTTTAAATTTCTTAAAGTTGCTTTAATTTTTCTAGTATTTTTAAATTAAACAATTTAGCTGTAGATCTAACTAAACATTTAACAGATGCATAATGGATGGATTAGCATTCTTTTTAAAGCATTTGAAAACAGCCAAAAAATTTATTATCACAGAATAGAAAAAGAGGATGGAATTTGCGTCTTTCAAAATCATTGCAAGCATTCAGTCCTTAATTAATTTTTATTATATAAATAATATGAGTGAGAATATGAATTTCAGCTTTTATTATATAAATAATATTGAAAATATGAGTGCACCGTATTACTCCTTCGACCAATTTCGCCAAACGAAAGGACATCGCCAAATGTCGCCAATTGCTGTAATCGTTATTATAACTATATTTGAATGTGTGTGGGAATGATTTCAATTTGTGACAGCATATCACGGCATTTGGTGACGTCTTTGAATTTGATTAAGGCATCCGACTACGTTCGGAACGGTGATTTTGCAAAAGCGTATAAATGGATAATAATTATGATATTTAGTGTCACTGAGATTAGAAAATGTATATTAAGTTGTTTTAAGAATAGTATTACAATAAAAAATTATTCAAGTACAATATTTTGATAAAAAATGAATATATATAATGACCAATTTTCAAAATATTCTCCAATTGTGAAAAATGCTTCTATTATAATAATATTTTGCCTGTATATAGCTTAGTTCCTGTGCAGAGGCTTGTGATGTACCTCTTCTTGGAAGTACATCCCTCGAAGTATTAGCGTGAACTATAGAGGTGTAGGGTTAGCGAAAGATCTAGGATCAAACATTATCTTAATATGACTCTATTAAGATATTAAATTTAAACTTTTAACAAATGTAATTATAATAATTGATATGGGAGAATCTACGATGACTCAATACGCAACACACAATATATATATATATATTTATTGTATGATCTAATCTAATTCAGACCAATCTCAATAAGCGAACCGCCTAATCCTCAATTCTAATAATAATTAATCAATCCTACCTTATATTATTCCGTTATGCTACTTGTCTTTATCTGCAATAGGATGCAGCTTGACGGCTACTTCTAGTCGAACACCAATATGTTTATCCACGACACGTAGAACTTAATCAATCTTGTACCACGAACTGCAATAATCATCAACTGCCACAACGCACATCAATTGTCTAACCTTCCTTTACATTGCCCTTCCACTTACTCTAAGATCCTATATTTAAAGTCCGTTGATTTGCATTTCTTCTTCCCATCTCGTTTCTTGGATTTGGTTGGAAAAGAGTTATCATTAATTCTGGCCCAAAGAACCCAAAGGACTTGTTAAAGAAAAGACGCGTAAGATGTCACAGGCTCAACTAGAATTTTTGAAATATATAACTTAAAAGTGGGTTTATCCATGTTTTACGACAACAGAGAGGAGAAATTTTAAGAAAAAAACGCCGATAATTATTTCAATTGGTTGTAACTCTGAAAAAAATGTGAATTTTTTAAAACTCCTAGTTGAACCTCTGTACAGAAGTCTGAGCTATATGCAGGCAAACTATTATTGTAATAGAAGCATTTTTCACAAAAGGAGAACATTTTGAATAAAGGTTATTCTAAGTTAATTTTTTGCCGAAATATTGTATTTAAATAACTTGTTTTGTCAAAATGTCCTTAAAACAATTTTTTACATGTATTTTTTAATCTAAGTGACACTAAATATTATGAAAATTATCCATTTATTTGCTTTTTTAAAATTATGGTTCCGAGCGTAGTCGGATACCTTAAATTAGTTGACGCGTGCTATAGTATGCAAGTATCAAATTATGTAACGTGGAATTTTATATATTCATACATACAGGTATATACATAAATCCACTGTTTATTTCCTGGTAGTACTTAAGGCCTGAATAAGAATTTTCCCATTCAATTGATACTATTAAATATACTGAAATATCTAATTTCTTCTAAGCCGCTTATAAAGTTCTGAGGCATCGAAAAAGCGAATTTGAAATTTAATCATATGCTTTAATAAAAGATATTGATTATGAGCTTTTTGACTTACGGAAACAACTTTTCCTCTTGTTCTTGATTAATTGCATGGCTGTTATACTAAAAAAATAAAGCGTTATCGATTATTTTTTATAAATGATCTCAATTGTAATTTATTTTACTTCTTTTTTTCCCTTTCAATAACTTAAGCATCATTTTTATTTGTTTGTTGGTAAATATGAAATTAAAGAACAAACTGTTTGCTTATTATGGAATAAATGAGCTAATTTAAACAATCGATAAAACTAATTATTTTCAAAAATATTGATGAAAATGATTATCTTTATTTAATTCATATTATTAATTCACTCTCTCTCCCCTCCTATATATGTATACAGGTATATATATACCGTAAAATATATATATACCGTATATATTACCGCACTTTTAGCAGAAAAAATGCAATCGAAATTTAGGGGTGCTCGTTATACGCCGGGTATAAAAATGAGAGCTTTAAAACTAAAAAAGAAGATGAGCATAGAAAAAAATTAGACTTCTACATTTATCAAATTACTGTTTATTTAAAAGAAATGACATTCTTTATGAATTTAACGGGTTTTAGTTCTAGAAATATACCATTTCTTTCTAAAGCTTGGAATAATACCTCGAATAAATTGACTTCAAAACATAACAGCAGTGGTTTACAGCACCCGGTCCGTGGATCAAATACTACTGGTCCACATAAGAGAAACATTAAATTATTTCCATTTTATTTACTGAGGCATATTTTCTTGAGTTTTGGATACTTTTTATGAAAATTACTTTATATTTCTTATTAAATCGCTTTATATTCATCTTTGGTGTAGCTATATTTTATTCTCAAGGGACGTTTAAATACAATTAAAATAAAATTATTGAAACAAAACAATCTAAAATATAAACAATCAACGTCCTCCCGCTCAGCGGGCCGCGGTAAAATTATCCAACCTTAACCGGTCCGCGGTGATAAAAAGGTTGGGGAACACTGCATACGAGCATTGAACTCGTAGATTTCAGGTTTCTTCGTAAAAAAGGGAATGCGCGTTATACGGCGAATATACCTAAACATTAAAATTTGCAGCTTGAAAGTATAGGTGCGCGTTATACGGCGGTTCGGGTTATACGCCGGATTTTAAGGTATATATAACTTGTTCATGTTTTCAATCGTTAATAAAATACTTTTTATTCATCCATTCAAGTTCAAATAGATTTTTTAAAACTTTTAGTGGATGACACTTGATGTTAATACATTTTTCAAATATTAATTCATCAATTAAATTAAAAAATGAATAAATAGTAACAAACCAAAATAATAGCCAAACAGCATATATAGAAATGAAAACCGTTAGTCGTGTCCTGTAGCGCAAATTATAGCGTGTTGGACTGCTAATCCAAAGGTCGTGGGTACGAATCCCGTCTGGGATGGCCTAATTTCGGAGAATGTGATTTCTTTTTTACAATACTGTTTTTTTAGAATGATCAAATTTAATTAATGAATAAATAGTAACAAAAAAAAAATCCAACATCCTATATAGAAAGGAAAATGGAAAATTGCAAGGAAAATCGATTTCCATTTTGTCACTTAATACTGTGATTCCGTAATGTGTATATACATATTTATATTAACAGTAACTATTTAATAAAAAGTAACTGAAATAAAATTTTTCTTTGTTGACCTAAATAGGAATTGACTAAAAAAATTTGTTTTTATATTACTAGTTGAAGAAAAAATTAACAATTTTATTTTAAGACTACAGCAAATTTTATTTTTGTTCTTGCTCAGCATTTAGAATTTAGATAGAAATTTTCATAGTATGATGGAAAGTTCTTAGTGTTTTCTTTCATAATACGTATTTTACAAAAAGTAGAGTTATCTTAGAAGCAAGGTTTTGCTTTATGAAATATCCATCGCATTTTTATTATGTACAACTGTCATTTAATAATCTTCTGAAAATGTAATATATATTAAGGGGATATATGTATTGTTAGTAAAGAGAAGACGCAATATTCTCTATAAAATCTTTGTAGGAACATACACTTATTATTTGGGTGTTTTATGTTAGTCATTACCATTTTATCAGTAGTATTTGTATAGATCAGCTGGTTGCATTAGTATGCAGAGAGAATTACTATTCTTTTTTTATGTAAAACATGTTATGTTTTATGTAAATTATGTTTTTTATGTATTCTAAAAATACTTCATTTTCTTTTATGATGTCTTATTAATCACAGTTGTATGTTTTTAAATCAATAAATATTTCATTCCCATACAATGGATTGTGTTTCTAATTAATATTTTTTGAAACAGTAGCATTAATTATCAGGCTTATGCATATATTTTCGTTCCATAAACAATTTTAACAATGTGACTATTGATATAAAATTAGCTATTAAAAATATCTTATATTGTATGAATGAATATTAAAATCGCACAGTGGGCAGTTTTCCCAATCTGTCGCTCCGAAAGTACAAATATGAAATTGGGCGAAATAAAACAACAACCCACAATTTATGGTCCTAATAGGTTCCCTAGCCATGTGGTAAACAGTTTTTGTCAGTACGCGAATGAAAATCATCAACAATTACCAGTTTAGATCTGGTTTATTCTTGCTACAAGAAACACTTGTGAGAGCCTCATTTTCAGTCGCAAGTCCTATCGTTTCGTCTGAAAAGGATTTTGCAGACTTTAGCGGGGTTTTTGAAAATACATACTATGAGTAAGAAATTTCTTGATTTGACTTTCAAATTAGGTTCAAGTTCGATTAAAAATTGTAAAAACATAATATTTAGCACAGTATGTAACTCCTAATAGCGAAAGCCAGTGTTTTGTGTTTAATGGACTAGAACTTTTGGGATTGACACGGATTGATCCCAGTAACACTTAACTCACATAGAGTAGATATAGACCTTTAATTTAATACAAAATTAAGCTATTACTACCTGCTACTCCGAAAGTTATGAATTTATTTTCAGCGTTGGCCGATGGTATTACTCAGTGCGCCTTATTCAATGTGTGGAAGGAACAGCTAGATACTAGCACAAAACTAATGATGTTTTGAGTTTAGTTAGGACTAACACGGACTTTTTAAATAAGAGGACCAGAAGCAATTAAAATTTATAAAAGTTGTTAAAAATTTCTGCTCGTTTGTAGAGGAAAAAGGGATGAGATACCACAGAAATTAAAAGTCCTTCTACAAGTCAAATGATGCCGTGGTTGTCTGGGTGTAAGATTTATATTATACTTTATTGTTTTGAAGAAAAATATATAGCTAATATTTTAGTGTGCTATTTTATGTTTATTTAAGCTTATAATAATTATTTTTTCAGAATTATAAACTTTAAAATGGTTTTTCTTGGTTTGTGTTTTTTCGCATTCAAAATATTACTTCTTCCACAATTAATAACCAATTACTTCTTTTTTTCCCTTTGTCTTATGCGTAATACATGTAACAAAATTAGGGATCCATTTTGCTGCAAATTCAATACATTTTTTTAAAAAAAATTGAATTGTGGGAAATATTAGGCTTTTGGTTGAATTTTGACACACACACACACACACGCGCGCGCGCGCCACAATATATCAACATTTATATATAATTATTTTTTTTCTCCAAATCTAACTAAGGTAATGTAAAATCAATTTCTAAAGATATTAAAAAAACATTCTCAGAAATATTACAAAAACTTCCTTTCAAAAAATTAACACAAAAAGAGTAGAATTTTAAAAATTTCCAAATTTTTTAAAAGAAATTAACTTTGTAAACTTGTGTGAATAATATATCCAAAATTTTATCTCCTATCACTTTCTTAAATAAACATTACATGAAATGCTAAAATGTAATTTTTAAATATATAAATAAAAAAAAATGCTCAAAGGGTGCCGAGTCCTTTTAAACACTGTCTATTATCCTTTATTGTACATGTACAATGTTATGTTTGATTGTATTTGGTTAATCTTTAACAATTATTAAATTTAATTTTTTAACTTGCCACACTCTATTTCTTGTATATATTCTCCCTCGTGTAAATTACTGCTTCTGTTAATATCCTTAGATCCTTGTTCAAAAACTAGTTCCACTTAGCATAATCTTATTTGTTAGTAAAAAGCAGAAAATAATACCCAATATACATTAATTACTATGATTTTATATCATTATGAAGACTAAAGCCATAAAATAACTTCCGTGCACCAGATTGGGAAAACTGCCCACTGTACGTTGCACTGTTCAGCTACACGAGGGCTTTTGGCGACGGACCACGTAACTGTGAACCATGGTCAAGTGACGTGGACGACACCTGAGCTGGCACCTCTGTCTCCTAACTATTACACCACACCAACGGGAGGATGTTTCAGCTCTCGGCAGATTTAACGTGCATCGCTGCCCTACACGGCGGATCTTTAGTAGTACTGGCCTCGAACTCATGACATGCCTGCCATGATCCAATACCTTGACCACTGGGCTATCACAGCCTTATGGCTTAAATTGAAGATAAGAAACAAGAAATAGGTGGAGAAACGATAACAAGATAACTAAAAGTAAGAATAACAGCACATTTGGAAAGAAATATATCCTAAATGGTCCTGAATTGTATTTTACATTAAAAAAACACATTAAGATAATTACATTTCATATTCTTTTAAAACAGAAATTATTCTGTTTTACTTTACAACTAAGCAAATAATAAAATGCAAATATAAGAGGTGAAAAAATATGGGTCAAGAGTTCAATAATGTGAGCATAAACTAAATCAAAGAACAAACTTTATATGTAATTATTTTGATTTTGATTTTTTGTGTACGAATTTCTTATATAAAAAGTTTTTAATATATTTAATGCAATTTCTTTGGTTTGGATATACATGATGCAATTTTTCTTAAAACTCCATGACCCTTATCAAACTAAAGCTGTACGTTCTTATTTTCTAAGGTAGATGTTTTACATTCATCTAAAATTTAAAAGAGTGCTCCACTCTATTCTTAAATAGAATAAGGGACTCGATATCCCTTTTATAGTAATTCAATTCAATCTGAAATTCTCTATTCAGAGTAGTGCTCTTTGGACTTCTCTACGTTCGGGCTTAAGTCTTTTAAATGAAAGGAATTGTTCTAGTCCTACGCATATTGATCGAAAGAACTGAAAGAGCTGGTCTGAGGAACAAATCGCAAATGGCGAGAAAGATTCTGCATGTTCTTACTGTGTTTTATCTGGTTTCAGAACTACTCGTGCATCTTACTTGCGCTTGTGGTTTCATCTTTCCATGATTTAATAGATTTCACTGTGTATTCCAAGCACCGTAATTCTTTTATACAATGTAAGCTAAATTAAGTTAATTTTATAATTAAAGTGTTAACTGGCACACATTTTAAAAGTATTGGTGCAATAAGAAATGAAACTATATTGCTCATAAAACTTACACACTTGAGCTATTTTAGTCAATTGAAACCAACTTTATTTGTAAATTAATAAAACATTTTAGCATTTTTTATGTAAAATGGGTAAATAAAACTGTTGTGTTTGTGATATTTCTATTTCTATTAATACTAGTTCTGTAAATGTTTTTTTGCAGAATTAGTATTAAAAATATCAAAACTACAGTTTGATATTTACAGTATGGAGAAATTAAAATCTGTGTTTTTGTTTCGAAACTAGAATTAAAGTTCGAAGAATATGACTTTATTTTATAGAATGAAGACACCATACTGTTTTATTATTTACGTGAAAAAAGTAAATTTTTCAGTACTTATAAGATTTTCTTCTATATAATATAAACTTTCTATTCGCGATCAATAGCCGTAAACATATAATATATATATATATATATATATATATATATATATATATATATATATATATATATATTAAGGGAAATTTCGATGCCCCTGAGATTTATTTGAAAGTATAAATGAAACTTTTTAGTTATTTTAAAGAGATCTTGTGTATTATATTTGAACAAAATTCGTCTGTCAGCATATTTTTTTCAAAATTGTTTTTTAAAGTTCCGCGCGTATCTATCTAACATTTTTAACCCTATTGTTTCCCTTTTACTTTCTTCATATCAAAAGTATGCTATTGTTTTCTAGATTCTACTTACTATACAACAGCAAAACTTAAAGCAAGAAAAATATTATTATTTTATATGTTTCTACAGATGCAGAAATTGAATGCAGGATTTATAACGCTTTCCTGAAAAGAACTTTAGTTTTAAGAAAAGAATTCATTCAGAATTTCTGTAACTGCAAGTACAAACCCATTTGAATGGGTTATTATTGGCTTCTTTCAATATATATTTTTAATTTTGTGTAATGTTATAGATTGTACGAACTTCTGAATTTTTATTAAATACAGTAGATCTTTTTAAGGCATTTCTTGTTGTATAAAAAAATTCTATAGCTGTCTGTTTCTAAAGGGCAGAGAGATTTTCTA